TTGGGAGGGGGTCTCTCTGACGGAAGATACCCTCCGGGGATCTTTCATTTGGAGGCCCCAGCGAGATCTGAGACCCCCCACCCAGGGACCACCGACCCACCTTCGGGAGGTAAGCTGGCCAGCTGTCTTTTCTGTTGTATGTATCTGTCTTGTCTGTTGTGTGCTTCTGTGTCTGTTCTGTTTGCAACCTGAGACTTGATCAAGTCATCTGAATCAGGCGGAAACCAGAAGGAGCCGACGGGCTCGGACTTCTTTTCCGTATCCCTGGAAGACGTTTCAGGGTGTCTGAGTGAGTCTGAGTGGGTTCGAGTCCCACTGCTGACTCCCATCTGGAGGGGCTGAGTGGGTTCGAGTCCCACCAGCCCTCATCTGAGAGGGTCTGAGTGGGTTCGAGTCCCACCGGCCCTCATCTGGAGGGTCTGAGTGGGTTCGAGTCCCACCGGCTCTCATCTGAGTGGGGGCCAATTTGTTGGCTCCCCGTCTGGGAGACGAATCTCCAACACAGTCTCCATCTGAATTTTTGCTTTCAGTTTTGCTTCGTGCCGCGCGGCTTGTGTCGTGTTTTGTCTGTTTAAATCCTGTGTTTCTCATGTATGTATGTGTTTTTCTGTGTCTGTTTCTTTGTGGACTTGGACTGATGAAAATTTGGACAGAGGACAGTTGAAATTGGACAGAGGACAGTTCTTGGCTCGGGAGCTGGGGAGTGCACAAGGCTGCATGACAGGACACCAAGCAGTGTGCCCTCCCTCCCGAAGGAGCCGAGGAGAAAATGCTTTCAGGTGGCTGGGGAGACATGGAGCTGGAGCTTGGGCGGGCGGTGCTCGGACACTTGGGAGTCTGTGAAATAACAATGTACAACCAGCAGGGCACGGGCTCTGCAGCCCCGAGACAAAGGGGTGGAAGATCCCCCCCCCCGCTCGGAGGGGAGGTGGGGCGGCGCGGCTGGACGCTCCAAGAGCTGCCTGCAGTGTTCAGGAGGGGCCCGGCCAGAAAGCAGGTTCATGACCTGCGGGGGAGGTAAGCTAGAGTAAAGCTCACAGGGAGCCAAGAGAACAGGCAAGGCTCGTGGGCTTGCTAGGTAAAAGTCCTTAGGCGGGGATTGGCACCTTAGCTGCTCCATGACAGGAGCTGCTCTGGCTGCGAGAATAAAGAAAAACTCCTCCCCCTTGCCTTCATGCCAGCTCAGCAGTGAGGGGGAAAGAGAACAGCAGGAGCTCACCACGCCCTCTTGCTCCTCTCTTCCCTCCTCCCACCTAGGGGGCTTGCAACTTACAGATCAAACAGTAATTTAAGATGATTGTTTTCAATTGGTTTTAAATGGTTGATATGATCAAAAATAATTGGATATGTTTTAAGGTTAAATTCAAATTCTTGTTTAAAACACGTATATGTGCCTATGTGTTTGTAGGGTCTATGAATACATATGTTTAAATAACAACAATATAAATTGCCACATGGTGTGACTCAAGAAAAAGAACAAAGGTTACAAAATCTCTGAGTCAAAATGATTTTATTTCCTTTTAGGATAAGAAGAAGGTCTTGTTCTAAGTTGATATTGGTTCTAAAGATTGGGTTGTTTTCACTGATAAATTTTGGTCTTAAAATCTGGTTTAAACTTTTATCTGGTTTTGACTTTGAAATTATGGTTATGCTTTATAAATTCACTCCTAAAGAAAATACTTTGCTTTGATATTGCAGGGACGAGTTTTAAAAATTGTTTACATGTTTAAGGCTATAAAATATTTAAAGTTTATCAGGCATTTGGGTAATCTGACAAAATTTAAAAGTTTCTCGATCCTTTAAAAGAAAATAAAAATACTTTGATATTTATTTTATCAATCTTATTAAATAAAACCCAGCCGTATGATTTGTGCTAATTAAAAAAAAAAAAAAAGAAAAATTTACAGTTTTTAAAATGTATCTTATGGAGAGCTGTTTGTTTGTTAAGCTGCCTTGTTACAACCCTGGTCTTGTGGACGCAGGGCTCCAGCAGGATTATGTTAAGATAAAAAGGATTTTGATGAGAGTTTATATGTTGTCTAAAAAGCAAGAAAAAAGAAAAAGAATGTCTGGTTAAGCCAGAAAAAGAAAGCTAGAAACCTGAAGGTTAATGTATGTTGCAGAAGGTTAGTGTATGTTGCAGAAGGTTAGTGTATGTTGCAGAAGGTTAGTGGATGTTGCAGAAGGTTAGTGGATGTTGCAGAAGGTTAGTGGATGTTGCAGAAGGTTAATGTATGTTGCAGAAGGTTAGTGGATGTTGCAGAAGGATAGTGGATGTTGCAGAAGGTTAGTGGATGTATTATAAAAAGCCAGAGAGTTAATATGATTTGAGAAAAAAAAACAAACAAAAAAAAACTGTATTTTAAATATGTTATAGTTCATTTAAAAGGCTGGTGATTCCTCATTACAAAATGTTTTCTTATGTTCTTTTAAGAAAAAATTCTGGCTGATAGGTTTGGTATGGCTAAAATAATTCATACAGTTTAAAATTGTTCTGTACTGTTCTGTTATGCAGTTGGTTCTAAAACTTATTTAATCACTAAGTTAAAAATGTTGGTTGTGGGGGATTATAAATGCTCCACAATGTTTGCTGTATCATCAGCACCTAATAGCTATGTTTGGTATTATCAGTCACAGCCTGTGGTAGCCTAACACGAGGCTAGCCACCATGATCTTTCAGGGATAGAGAACATATAAAACTATATTTTTGCTGCCATATCTGTTTAGGGCTTCCAGCTGAGTTCAGTTACACGTGGTCAGCCGCCATGTTAGTCCAAAAAGAAAGAGGGTAGAGCCATGAGTTTGTGATCATTTTTGCTCAGGTATCTCAGTTATGTTCAGTCATCTGATTAGTACTAAATACAAAGCTTTTTACTGTTCAATTTTAATGCAAGTGATAGGAACAACAAGATTTGCTAGGCTCTCTATGAACTATGTCTGATTAAAAGATTTGCTTTGATTTTAGTTCAGAAAGAACAGATTTAAAGTTATACTGACAACTACAGTTGGCTACACCTAGTGTCTTTGTTTAGTTTTTCTTTTACATAGTTTAAAACAGATAATAAAGATAGACAAACAGATAACTCAGATATGCTGGCCCTCAGGCTTGTCAGAGATCTGATGAATATGGCATTTTAACTGTGTAAGCTTATTGTGACAGAAAGTCCTAAAATCCTGGCAGTAGCTCCCCCAAGGTCTCCGAGAAGATTTGGGCACAACGACAGATGACTGCGACTCTGGATTGTGGTATGCTAACCACTAGGCAATATTGCCTCAACTGGCCCACTGCTAGGGCCCAGCCTAAGCTGTGGACAAAGCCGGGGACATCTGAGGAGCCATTGTCTCACATTGTGAGAGGCAAGGTGAGGTCAATCTCTTCTGTTCCTCTTTCCACAGAAGCAGTAAAAGCAGTCTCTCACCTTCTGTGCCTGGCTGGACAGCCTCTGTTCAGGATGCCATGAGACAAGAGCGAGGGACACTGCCTAGGTGATGGACTAAGTAGTCATCTCTGTCATTTTGATAAACACATAGATTGGTATATTTATTCAGCTTATAATTTATCCTTCTCAGGTCTCTGAACACCTTGATGGCTATGCTAAGCTTACGACAGCTTTACAGCTAGAGAAAAGACAATTAGATCCACTGTTAGTTCATTGATCAGTTCATTAGCTAAAACTACTGGGTACTAGATCTCTTATTTAGAAAAAAAAAAGGTTTCCCTTGCTCACAGAATTCATGTTAGTCATCTGTGTCTTAAGATATATAACTAGATAAAAAATATAATACGGAGCCTATATACAGTCTAAAGATATAAGAGTTTAGGTTATAAAATCTAAAATGTTATTATTTGGTCTGAAAAAAAATGTTTCAGGGTTGATAAATACAAAAAAAAATTAGAGTGTCTAAGTTGATAAAAATAGTTTAAAACATGTTAAAATTGAGAGATATTTTAGATCTCCCCCCTCTTTGCTACTGTTGTGCTTACGTTATAAGATTTCAAAAGTTCAGAGTTTTGACATTTATTAATAGAGTTCTGATAAGTTGATAGAGCACTGACTGCTTATTATTCAGTCACCAGGTTGAGATTTTAATTTCCTTTGATTGGCTTCTAGAGATAGACTTAAAGACTTAAAGGTACTTCTCATCATGTTAAAAACATCTGTTTAATATATATATCTGACCCAAAAGTCATAGCTTTTAGTATGGTATTCTTAATATCTGCCATTTCTGAGATAGATTTTGACACAGAAAAAAAAAAAAATCAAGCATCCAGGGTTTAACACTAAAGCCAGTAATGTGTTTCTGCCTAACTTTCCAATATAAACATAGAGATGGGGACTCTTCATTCGTGGCTAATTACCAACAGCTATGCCCACAGGAAAAAAAAATGTTACCGTAGACACACTTAAGTTATATATAAAGGTTATAAAACAAACAGCTGATACTTATTCAGTAAGATGTAGTTTTACCTGTTACTCTCAAAATGTTCAATTTGCTGATATGTTACTTTTCTGAGTATTTAAAATTATACATTTCCTTTTGTGTACTAAAAATTTCATATAAGTTTCAGGATTTGACCTGGATCTGACATAGCTCAAAAGGATCACAGATGAGATTTTCCCTAATCTTTCCAATTTAATAGATAAATTTTAACTTCTGTCTCCAGTCTAAATTTGTCTCAGCAGATTTTCACCTGTTCAACTCTGTTCTGGGATCAGCTATAGACTACAAGCTGAGATCTGGACTTCCTGAAAACTGACCTGATTGCTCCCTGCCTCTTCCGGTGGATCAACTGACCAGATGCTTGGGACTGCCCTATTGCCCAGCTTTTGACTGGCATTTCAGCCTCCCCAGCCCCTGATGCCTACGTCCAACGGTCAGCATGAAGAAGCTACAGAAGACGGATCTCCGCCCAAATCCCCCCTAACAGGCTGAAATGCTAAGTCAAAAGTGGCTCCCTGACATTAGCTATTATCTTGAGCATCTGCTTAGCTGCTGACCATACTAAATTGATAAGAGATAACATGGCTAAACTCAGAAAAAGACTCAGACAGAGACAACAATTCTTTGAGTCAGGACAGAGCTGGTACGAGAGATGGTTTAGTCGGTCCCCCTAGATTACCACCCTGATCTCCTCCATTATGGGTCCCCTAATCATAATTCTCCTGATTCTACTAGTTGGGCCTTGTATTCTAAATTGGCTGATCCAGTTCATAAAAGATCGGTTCTCTGTCATACAAGCGTTTGTGTTGACCCAACAATATCATCAGCTCAAACAACAGGGGACAGAATTTAACTCTTCCTAGGCCCGAGAATGGAAGATTCCATTCTAAGTTAAAAGAAAATGGGGGAATGAAAGACCCCAGCCTCACACTAAGTTAAACATAGCTAATGCCATTTTGTGAGACACCACTGTTTTGTAAAACTCTGAAGGCCAGATGAGAAACTGGAAAATTACTGAGAAATCCTAGCTGTGTCACCCACTTGGGATATCTGTGGTCAGGGTGCCCCAGTCATACTAAAAACAGTTTATGTTAATCACTCTCATAGATATCTGTGAGACTGTTTCAGCTAAGATAGGGAAAAACAAAATAACAGGTGGCGGGCCACGTCAAGGGGTCATCCTACCCCCCTTGACCACCCAGTTCCTGGAATCTTGGTGCCCCTGCCAAACTTTGACGCAAATTGTGGTCTCCTGTAAACGTACCAATCAGCCCCCTGTAACCATGCCCTCTCGTGTCTGTACCAGTGCTACTGCCTCTAAAACCCTATAAAAACCCCAGCTTCCCATCTAGGGGGCGCGGAAGTCTTCCGAAAGACTTTTTGCCCCGGGTACCTGTGTATCAAAATAAAAGCCTCTTGCTGTTTGCATCCGAATGGCCTCGTTGATCCTTGGGAGGGGGTCTCTCTGACGGAAGATACCCTCCGGGGATCTTTCAGAAGAAATGATAAGAATTGAGGTTAGCTGATTAAACACTCCCCATGTGAGAAATCTCATTGTGATAGGTATGTACATATGTTTGGAAAACTTTGAATGTGTTTTATTAAAACTTTTTTTTGATAGTTCAATTCTTTTTTTTTAATTTTATTTTTTTCATATCAGTTACATTTTATTAACTCTGTATCCCAGCCGTGTCCCGATTCCTCATTCCCTCCCCAGTCCCTCCCTCCCTCATCTCCACCGTGCCCCTTGCCAAGTCCACTGATAGAGGGAACCTCCTCCCCATTCATCCGATCCTGTTTTATCAGGTATCTTCGGGACTGGCTGCAAAGCTCTCCTCTGTGGCCTAACAGGACTGCTCCTCCCTTGGGGGTGGGGAGGCCAAAGAGCCAGTCATTGAGTTCCTGTTAGAGTTACCACAGGCTACATCTGAGCAGAGGTTCTAGGTTACATTCATACATGGTCCTTGGTTGCATGTCAGTCTCAGAAAAGACCCTGTACCCAGATATGTTTGGTCCTTGTGGAGCTCCTATCCTTTCCTCATCAGACTAACTCCCCTTCTTTCTTATGATTCCCTGTACTCTGCCAAAGGTTTGGTCATGAGTCTTTGCTTTGAAAACACTGCTAAAAAGACCAGCTGCATGTACTAGTGTGGTCTGGCTTTTTTCCTTCCTTCCTTCCTTCCTTCCTTCCTTCCTTCCTTCCTTCGTTCCTTCCTTCCTTCCTTCCTTCCTTCCTTTTGAGACAGGATCTCCACAGCCTAGTCTGGCCTGTAACTCACTAGGAAGTTGCCACCAGTACTTGCAAACATTACATTTTAAGAGGAAAATACAAAGGAAGTATTTTTTGAGACAAGGTTGATCTTTGTAGCTTGGCTATCCTGGACTCATTTTGTAGACGAGGCTGGCCTGGAAATCACAAAGATCCACTTGCCTCTGCCTCCCTGAGTTGCTGGAATTGTAGGCTTGCACCAAGATGCCCAACTTCAAATCTTTATTTTTTAAAAACATTTTATCTTCCTCTCTCAGTTTATTTCATTTTCACTTTTTATATTTTAAATTTTTGAAATAGGGTTTCTCTGTGTAGTCTTGGTTGTCTCATAACTCAGGTCTGCTGGCTTCTGCCTCCCAAATTCTGGAACTAAAGGTGTTGGCCATCACCATCAGGATTAAATCTGTTTCTTAATGATATTTTATATACTAGTTACAAGTTAGTTTTCCAACATAGGGGCTGCTATAACAAAGTATCATAAATGTGGAGGCTTAAAGCAACAGGTAGTTGTTCTTGCATAATTTTGGGTGGTTGCTCTGAAATTTACTTGTCAGGAGGTAACCTCCTTTGAGGTTCTTCTAGGAAAGAATATCCATCTCTTCTAGTTTCTGGTGGTCCCCATTGTTCTATCATTTATGGCACCATAATTCTATTTTTTGTCCTCTCCTCACATGGCTTTCTTTTTCTAAATCTTTTTCATTTTTTTCATAAAAACAATTTCTTTGTTCAGACTTGTGGTATATGTCTATAATCCCAGTTATTTGAGGGACAGATGATGGAAGATGCTAAGTCCAAGGCTTTTGTGAGTTACAGAATGAGTTCAAGGCCTGACTGGGAAACTTAATCTCAAATAAAAAAATAAAAATAGAAATATGTGGCAATAGCTCAGTATAGTGGAGCACCTGCCTATTGAAACTCCAGGTTCAATTATCAGTCCCGGGTGTTGGGGAGTATTAGGGGGCCTTGTTTTGCCTTATTATTTTTTTCCTTTCTTCTTTTCCTCCCTTCTTCCCTTATTTTTTCCCTGTACTAGGGACTGTGCCTAGAAAACACACATTTTCTCTCTCTTTCCCCTCCTCCTCTTGCTCCCTCTCTTTCCTCCCCCTTCTTACCTCCATACCAGACTGAGCTATATGCCCAGGCCTGTTTTTTTCTATAGCCAAAGACTATTATAATGGCTAACTCGAACTGCCAGGTTGACTCACCTGAGAGGAAGGAACCTTAAATAAAAATTGGCTTCCATCAGATTGCCATGGGAGCAATCACTAATTGATGTAGGAGGGCCCAGTCCATTGTGGAAGTACCTTCCTGCAGGTGGATGGTACCATTCCAGCAGGTGGGCCTGGGCTGTATAAAACAGGTAACTGAACAAGCCAATGAGTGTTGTTCCTTCAAGCTTTCTGCCTCAGTCCCTGCTTTGAGTTTTTGCCCTGTCTTCCCTCGATGGATTATAAGCCAGATAAACCTTTTCCAAAGTTGCTTTGATCAGTGTTTATCATAGCAACAGAGAAACAAACCAGGACAACTGTTAAGCCATAGAAAAACAGTGAATAAAGTTCCATAAGTAAAGCAGGTTTTAGTTTCATTAGGTGTACATTCTACCTTAGGAAAGGAAAGCACAGAACTTAATCTAATATTCAGTATTTCCAAAAAATGTAATAATTTTTCTTTATATTCTGTAAGTAAAATTAGGAGAAATAGGTATCATGTCCACCAGAATTAGCTTTCAGGAAGCTGTAAACACTGTGTTTTAGTCTTGAAGTCTAGGGAATCGCTGCTAAAGACTTTCAAAGTCTTGTCATTCCTTTTCAGCTACAAGTACTAATCAGGTTACACCATGGGAAAATGTGACTTTACTGGAAAACAGGTTAATGCCTTTGATTGCAGACTGGTGGCCTAGTCTCCTTTTTTTTTTTTCTCTCTTAGCAAGTTGCATGAACTGTTCACTGTTTTACTTGTGATAATGAGGTTTGAAGCTATTGAAGACATTGTTAAAGGACTCAAAGATATTGTATGAGTAGTTAATAATGCTTGATAAGTAAGCCTCACCTGGGGCCTTTCTGTCCTTATAAGGAGTCAAGATTACACACTCTGTTTTTTCTAGAATTCTTGCCTTGTTGTTCTTTTATTTTCACATGGACCTTTAACAGTTTAAAAGAATTAGGAATTCACAATCTTTGGAGATGAATATAAATTTCACTATGCTTTTTTACATTATTGTTTATTATTATCATTTATTACAATTTATTCAAATTGTACTGTGGCTGTGCCCCCCTCATATCTGTTCAATCACACCCTCCTTCCCTCTTCTATTCCTAAGCCACTCTCCTAGTCTACTGATAGGCAAGGTCCTATTCCCCTTCTATTTGATCCTAGCCTATCATAATGTTTTATACAAGTATTCCTCCTATTGTTACAGTTATCGATCCTTCTCTCTAACATCTATCATCTCTTTATCATCTATATCATATATCTATTACACACACACATACACACACACACATAAAGTTGTGAAAATGTTATTTCTTCCAAAAACATGTGTTTCAAAAATTGATCAAAACGAGTGATTTAAAGTCAAAAGTTTGAAGGAAATGAAATGCATGTGTCACTTTGTCAGTTATGGCCCAAGCCTTGGAATGTTGACATCACAATGGTTTCTCCCCCCCACCTACTACAGAATGATTTCACTTCAGTGGTTTGTATACAGACTGCTGTAGCCATTTTTGGTTAGCACCAGCAAAGAAAAGGAGAATTTTATGCTCAATGAGAGTTTCTCTATTCCAGGCTCCACTTTGAAGGTATTCTAAAATGACTATTATTATTCTCTTGATAGACTAGTGGTTTCGGGAAGTTTTTGGTCTTGATTTCTCTAGAACATGTGAACTAATTCTTGACAATTACTCCTGTTAGAAATAGTCAATACCATTACCCCAAACAAAGTTATCATGTCAGAGAGGTATGCTCTGAGCTATACAAGAGAATGATATCTATGTTTCTTCAAAACTATCAGCCTAAGTTATAAGATATTATTTTCTGTTTCATCTAGTTATTTTACTCACTATGCCAACAAAGATTTGTTGGAAACTGGTCAGATTTCAGCCCAAAGTACAACAACATTATGGTTTTAAACATTTATGTGTCAGTATTTTAACACTGATTCAGCTAGATAGGAATGACTTTCCGAACATAAGCATTTAATTTCAAGTTCATCATAAAACTGAGTTGACAATATTTTATAAAATACCTTTACATTCTTGCCTGGTGTGTTTGATACAACCATTGCCAATGCCTCTCTTTGACTTTCCTATTCACAGGTATCTTTAATCCTCCCCAAGTAAAAACTGTGGCTTCTCACTACATATTCTTTGAATGGTGTAACATGATTTAGGCATAGTAATATTCACTTAACAAAATATGTACTTTAAATATTCAAACTGTATGAGCAGGGACAGCAAAGAGACCAGCAAAATAGTAGCCACTCTGTTATTACAGGGAATGGTTTTATTATGGGTCAGAGAGGACAATGTTCAGAGGCACCTGGAAGAGTTCAGAGCACAGAGTAAAAGAAGCAGACTTGATATGACCAAGGCTGTCTAGAAGTGAATAGAGACTATTAGGAGAAAAGTAAAGATAGCTTACACAGAGACAAACTGTGCTTTCATAAATGCATAGGCTGAACCTAGGTCCCTATACACATAGGTAGCAGATGTGCAGGTTACACATGTGGGTAACCTAACACATGTGGGTCCCCTAACAATTGGACTGAGAGTTTTCTTTGACTCTGTTTCTTGCCCTTAGTTTCTTTTCCCCAAGGGGTGATGTCTTGCCTGTCATTAGTGAGACAGGATGCTCTTAGTACTGCCTGATGTGATGTGTCAGCATGAGTTGGTACATTTAGGGTGTCTCTCTGAAGAGAAATAAGGAATGGGAGAGGGAAGAATGATTTTGGGACTGTGAGAAGGGAGGGGCGTATGGTGAAGATATAAATTTAATAAGTTAATGAGTGGAAAAAGACAGAGTATTTCTAGAATATTTAGAAGATTCGGATAGTGCAAAGAGAGATTAGGATGTTTGGGAAGGGACAGGAATCTAGATGTGTGTTTTGAGATGTGTAACAAGTACATTTACTTCTGCTTCAGGTAACCTGGAGGCCACCATGGGTGTT